GGTTTTGGGGTGCACCAGCAGGCTAGGCTTGGGGGGAAGGGGAGGCAGAGTCATGGTGGTCTATCAGGATTCTATCTCCCTGATCACATGCGCCATCCCGCAGTCATCTATGTTTGAAACTGTCTATCTCAGAGTGGGTAACTAGGACAGACTAGGGATTCTGCTTGTGCATTGCCAAACCCACTGAACAACAGTCTCCCTACCTGAGCTAGCAAGGGTGGTCTCCGTCCTGGCATTGGAGTCTCAATGGCTGGGGGACTTCAACCTCCATGCCAAGACCACCTTGTCGGGGTGGCTCTCCTGCTGCTGGAGCTCTCTTATCATATATGAATGATACACCAGGAGAAGGGGGTGCAGGAGGAAAATCACTCCTGGCCCTCCATTCTCCCTGTGCATCAGTCATACATGACAGGAGAGCGCCAGCAGTAGTTTCATAGCGGCTGGGTAGGTTATTTTACTTTTTTCCTATTTTTAAGGGGGTTTGGGGAGGGGTGTGTGAGCCCTCTGAGTTTTCCAGCCTTATTCAGCCCAGAAAACATGAGAGGACTGTGTGGAAAGCCCCCTTGGAAGTCCCAGAACTTCCTAGGGGGCAGTCCAGACAGATGTCATAGTTGGTTTGACCCATGCCTGTGAACAGTGTGACAGTGTATAATCAAATTCAAAATATATAATGTGGATTATCTGATTTGATAATCTGGATTATATAGCAGTGTAGAAGGGGCCTGAGGTTGAAAGCAACCTTTCCAAACTCTGTCCTTGCAGGTAAAAATGGAACCAGTGGCCACTTAGGCAAAGTTACTATTGAACACAACCCATTATTATTCTCAGTCTATTATTATTCAATGTACATTTATCATACAATATTTCAGCATAAAGTACATTAACACAACTGCAGACTTTATTGTGCAAGATCAATCTCACCTCTTGCAATGTAAATAAAGTGAGTGAAGGGAAAAACACACATCCCTTCCTTTTGCTCAAAGAATAAAATCCTACTGTGAATTGCAAACAAACTTTTTCCACACCAGGAAGAATTCAGAAACAGCTACATGTGGGGACGTGTTACCGAACTCAATGTGTGACGCCGTGGGAAGTATCTCACAGAGGAGATGACTGCAGAAGCACATGTTCTTTTCTCTACTTGGTTAGTACCAAATGTAAATACTATATCAAGATAATTTTGACACTGCACTTAATAGGAACTTAATTTCATAGACTTCTGTTTAAACACAGATTAGAATTACTGCCGGAGCAAAACCAAATGAAAAGTTGACATTCCAATTAAAAACTCTATAGATCACAATGGAATGACTATATCTTCCAATTTCATATGATCCTCTGCATTTTGAAATGTCCATGTCTACTCAGAAGTAAACTTTAATGAGTTTAATGGGATTAACTTGACAATAGGTGCATATAGGATTGCAGCATAAATCATCTGTGTTGTGAAAGTAGATGGTAAAATTTTTATGTCAAAACAGAATGTTTGTATGTGTTCTGTCCCCTGAGCTAACTCTCAGGTGCTTTATTCTCAGGAAGAACAGAGTTGGAAATTCACAACAAAAGGTTTAACAGGAAACAAAAAGTAATTTAATTATATTGAAAATCAATACCCTAACTCTTCCCAGGGTCTGACTAAAACACAATTGCTTGAAAGAACAGATGAAAACTCAGAATTAACTGGTTTCTCTTGACTACTTCTGAAGAGATCTTCTTTCTAACTTCTTTTCTGTGTCCTTTTCTGACATTTTCTTCCATTAACACCTCCTGTTAAGTCTCTTTTTCTTCCTTAAACTGCAGACTTGGTTCCTTGATACTTGAAACTTGTTTCCATGAGTCTTGAACTTATTTTTTCAATCTTTGACTTCTTAAATTTTGACTTAGTTTCCTAAACCTTAGATTTCTTAAACTGAGTCTCCTCAACCTTAGACATAAAAGATATTGCAGCCTCTAAGCTCTCGGGCACCTTTAGACTACTAACTGGCTGCAAAGGAGTTGCTGAGGACAGCTGCAATCTCCACCTCAGGGGGGGGGAGGGTCTTAAAGGTAAAGGGTCTAATTAAGGTTCCCTCCCACAGAAAACTATGCAAAAGGGAACTGAACCCATTCTAATGACAAGGACAACTAAGGCTTGACAAGAAAACAGTAAAAGCCTCTGTGTGGGCATGCAAGGGTGCATAAGAAGTAGGTAGCATATGCATTCAAGTTGCTTATCAACTTATAGTGGCCTCATTAATTTGATAATGTTTTCTTATCCAAGAAATAGTAAGAAGTGGTTTTCCCAGTTCCTTCCTTTGGGATACAGCCTACAGGACCTGGTAATCACTGACAGTTTCCCATCTAAGTAGTAATGAGGACTGACTCTGCTTAGCTTCTAAGATCAGATGGGAAATAATTATGGGTCTTTCCAACATGAAACTATTACTATTGTTAGTGTTGTTATTATTTATATCCCACTTTATTCTCTTAACAAGGTTCAAAACAAGACTCAATAAAGTAAATGTGCGTAAAAGGAGCACCATATCACATACCAATATTTTGGCTTTGACTAGAAAATATAAGACAGCATTTCATCCCATTATGTAGCAGGTTACAGTTTCAAGGACCCAATAACCTAGTATGTTTTCAGAAACATCCTGTGTGCATAAGTAAGCCTTCATACTCTATTAATTGTAGTGCAGTGATGGGGAGGGTTATCCCAGTGCAATTCCCTTCCCTTCATCTACTCAGCACTGAATTTTCTGGCAAGGACTTAGAGGAGTTGCAGACCAATAACATCTGGAGGCTTGCATGTCCCTCATTTCTGTGTCAGTCATTGTGGTCCATGTCAAACACAACAATTGCCACAATTGGATCTGGGTTTTTATTTCAGCTTTGAAAAGAATGGTTTTCTTTGTTTTCTTTACTTTTATTTAGAGAACTATTCCATAATTGGATATTTTAACAAGTGACCAAGCCTTGATTTTAAGTTTTAATCTATATGCTATCCCAATTTAGCAGCATTGTACTGCACATGTACTGCATATATGAACTGACCAGGTACAAAGGAATTACCACATTTGTTTGTTTCAATATTAAAAATACATAAAACTGGATCAGATTGCAGGTGCAGAGTCATCTGTGGACAAACACACACAGGTGGTGGGAAGACAGGAATGTGAATTGTAAAAGGCATGGCCCGACTTACCGGGCCAAAGAAGTTGCGGTGCAGGGCATCCCCCACCGCCATTCTTGCCTGAGGGGGGGCTCCTTCCTCCCAGAAGCCCCCTCGGATGGCTGGAAGGTTTCCCGCTGGCAGGTCAATTGGCCAATGGCCAACTGACCACACCTTGCTGCACGAGAGGCCTGAGCTGACCTCTCCCTCTTTGTTGGCAGCCTTTATATGGCTGCCCCAGGCTCCCCAGCAGGCACTGGGCCTGCAACAGCTGATCCATCCCACCCACCCTGCATGCGGTTTATGTTTTCATCGGCAGTTAACTTTTGTGTTGTTTACCTTGTCCTGGTGACCTGTTAACAGTTACTTGTTTGTTTCATGCTTCTTGTCACAACTCCTTGTTGGCGTGGGGCATGGGCCCTGGATCTGGTTTGGTATCCCCCCTAGCAGAAAGGGGGAATACCTGGTGGTCCCAGGGGTGCCGAGTTGCATTTGCCCTGTATTGTGCCGGCGGCCCCCTGGCGTGTGCGGGATCAGGCAGTATTGGGCTGCCCGATCGTGATCCAAGACCCATGCTTGGTCACCAATCCTTGTTCCTGTTATCAATAAATGAGTTGTGGCCATTGTTCATCCCAACAGCATGTGTGAGCGTACTTCTTGGGTTGCCTGTGGGAGGTGTATTGCACTTGGACACGCAATAGAAATGGGTATGGTGAGAAGGTGACAATTTCAATCTCAACGATGGTCAAAAAACAGGAGTGGGCAAAGTGCGGCCCATGGGCCACATACATTTCGCAAGGACAATTTTTGTGCATCTAACCGCCTCTTATTCCAGATGTCTGAAATATTTTTAATGCTGTTTTGCAAACCCAATGCCCTACAAGAGGCAGGATACGTCCTGTAGTTAAGAAAGGTCTTTCAGGACATAAAATTGCCTATGAAAACCTAAATTATGATGAAAATGCCTCCAAATATTCCAACACATATATTTTTAACAATATTTTGTATGTGTGTGTGCGTGTGTGTGAGAGAGATGGGGATATAGTCCTCCAAGGTTTCCTGGATGGCTACTGGAGCCTCACAGACTCCCTTGTCTTAAAGAGTAATTAAAAGCATGAAAATGTGAGACAGGGTTTGCATACAAGCCAGGATAAGAAAATACACATAGAATACTGGAGTAAATGCTTGGTGTAGTGCATTTGTATGTTTACAAGATCAGTCAAGCATGAAAGCATGCATGAAAATCCTAGTTAGTAGATGTGATGACAACGAAAATTGTAATAAGTGTAACATTGCTTCTGTCCTGACCTCTGGCAATGGAGTTTGTGGACTCAGTTGTTCCTCTGTCAAATATTTTATTATTTTCCCCAATTGTTAAGCTTTAAAATGTAAGCAATGTAACATTTTTTTGGTAATAAGCATATCATCAATATTATCAGAAAAGTAATAATTAATATCAGAGTCCGTGTTTATATTTCACCAATTATAGGAAGAAAATGTTTTTTCTTCAGTTCCTTGTTTTCTACATGTGGTGACATTTGATTTTTTTTGGGAATAATAGCAATTGGTTCCAAGACTTTGAGAATTCTGGGAATAATAATAACAACAACAACAACAACAACAACAACAACAACAGGTTCCTAAACTCATGGGTACTGTTTCTTTCAGAGTATTTGCTTAAGATATCAAATGGGGAATCTAATTTCTTTTAAAAACATAATTACATTGCTATCACTGGCAAAACTATATTATTCCTTTCCTTAAAATGATCTACATTGGAAATTAATTTAAAAACACAGGAAGCCAGGAAGGCTCTTTTCATTAAAAGACAATAATTTTCTCTTACCAAGTGTGTTTCCAAGTAGAGTTTAAGGCTGTCTGTTTCTGACTTAGGAGGTGTCCAGTTCTCAGTGGTTTCCATAGCCTCATTTAACCAGTGAATGAATTCATCCAACTTGCTCACAAATCCCTTTCACCATGAGAAAAAAAGAACAAGAACAAGGCATAGCTGTTAGTAAAGCTATAATCTAGTAGACAGATTTACTTCTGGCTTGTTTGAAAATATTTGTGGCAGAAAACAAAAACCTTTGACACTTCTACAGGTCACAAGTTCCAGGAGAATCAGGAGAAACACACTTCTTCCCTCCTTCTCCCTCTGCTGATGTCAAGCATGGAGCACCCGAAATGGCCAGAAGTAATCATGGAGCTCTGCAGATGCCTAGCAGTGGCAATACGGGCCTGATCCTTTCCCTTTTCTCTGATGAGCACGGGTGGCCCATGTGAACAGTGAATTGTTCCACATCAGACCCGTTTCTACTGTTCACGCTGTACTGAAAACATGGGATACTCCAGAGTTTTGGTCTGGCTGAAACTCTGGAGCACCCCCAGCTTCTCTCGATGTAGGCCTAAATTGGGTTATTTTGGCTTTCCCTGTGATGGGGACCAGAAGTTCCAGAATGATATTGGGTCAGCCAGGAACAACTGAAGGGTAAATGCAGAGTATTAAGCCAGGTTAGGACTTGACGTCTGAGTCAGGTAACCTCCTCAGATTTACCTGAAAGTGCCATGGTCTAGACATGGGTCTTCCACATTGAAATCATTATTCTATCATTAATTCACAGCCACATTTTTTATCTATTAACTCTCTTGGGGGTTTTTTTTGGGGTGGGGGGTTAAGTGAGGAAGTAAAATTCAGTCCCTTTCTTGCTCTTCCAAGTATAATAATAATAATCAATTTTGGTGGGCTGGGTGCCCTGGACACCAACTAGCAATTTCAAAATGAATTTTGATTTTTGATGCTTTAGGAATGGGTGGTCTGAAGGCCTTGCAGCCTGTTGTATGAAAACAAAACAAAAAAACACTATTCCTGTAAGGAAAAAATGACTTAATTTTTTTGGATATGAAAGTATCAGGGAATTCTGTAAGGTCTATAAAACCAGTTTCACGAGGCACATGAGCTGCACTAAAATAAATGGCGACTGCAACTACAGTTGGCCTTAACAACATGGTTCTAAGAACATGTAGCTCCAGAAATCACATCGGGTGCAGCAATTGTTCCTGTGTATGGCTGTGTATAAGGGACAAGACAAAACCTGTGTCTCAGTGCACATGGTCTCTAGAGAGACAGGAAAAAGGATCTGCATGTAATGAGGAGAAGGTGCCATTCATAACAGAGAAAAGAAAAACATGTTGAATGCACAAATATCCCCTAAAACAGATCATTGTTGTAATCGTCGTCGTCATCATCATCATCGGAAGTGCTATCTGGAGTTGTGTGCAATCTAATCTATAATTAAATCTGAAGTAATGATTTGGGACTGGTTCTCATTCTATAAATGTCATGTCCACATGACCTTATTTACAAAACCAGCATTTAAATTTCCTTCTCCTGTGTATTACAACAAATAAAGAAATAGATTAACCTCCAAGCCTAAATCATATTTAAATTGTGATTGTGATGCAGAAATATATACAACACCAATATGACAAAATGTGATTGATATTTGTTAAATTCCCTTGCATTAGCAGGAGCAGCTGTAATGTCATCATAATGAGGAGGTGGTTTTGGTCAAGGTCATTGAAGAGTAAAAGAAATTCTAGGAAAGTAGAATAAAGGGGGGGGATATTAAAATGGTTATCCTCTGACACAAGAGGGGTGGGGGGAATCCATTTTCTAGAAGAAAACAAACAGCACTATGATCCCACTATTTTTCAGATGATGTCTATAAAATGTTATGGAGACTGTTCAAAAGAAATCAACTGTAGAAACTGAAAATTATTTAGAATCCTAAAAGCCTGACACTGAAAATTATTAGGGTACTAGAGATAACTTTGTCCAGCCCTTAAATCCCATTGTCTAAGCAAACAGCACCATCTGGAGGCTTAATCATAGTATAGCTACAAATAAAGAAAGCTTGAAATACATTCTTTGAGTAAGATGTTATGATTTCACTCCTATTTGTAGTTTCTTTTCAGCCAGGGTAGTTGCTACCACACTTCACTACATTCAAACAAATAAACCATATTTACCTCTGGTCAACTACTTATACCCATATAATTTCAGTAAACCCTATACAAGGGGCTCTTAATCTAGGATCTAGAGTTTGTGGCCAGATTTCATCTATATTGGCAATACATATGACTTGGCCACAATAATTTTCATATCATATTTCAGTGGTTGAAGATAACTCAGATACTGTGTATACTGATTACTACTTTGGACATTACAATTGATACAGGTCTCAGTCCTGAGTGATTAATGTCTATTTTACAGAAATGCTTTCATTTGTATCTTTTATGGAACTGAATTTTAATGTGTGTTTGCAAAATTTTATAATATCTGTGTGTTTTGAACTGTGCTGTGACCTGCCTTGAGCTGTGGGGAAAGGCAGGTAAGAAATAATAATAATAATAATAATAATAATAATAATAATTACTATTATTACTATTACTACAAAAATCCATTATATCAATACAAACATGTCATTGTTGCTAGCTGAAATCAAGTCAATTTCAGTTTATGTTGACCAGATATGATATCTGGATCCTTTAAATTATAATTGTGTGCTACGCTGGGATCTTTAGATTGTTCTTGTTGTGTGTCTTCAAGTCCTGTTGATCTCTAGATAGAGGACAGATTATACATATTTCAATAAATAATTAAATAGTGCCCTCAACAAACTACAAATCCCAGAATTGTACCAGATTATGACAAGTAATAGTATAATAACTGTGTAGTGAAAAGAGACCGTAATTTCCAATCCTCCACTTCTCAAAGAAGTTATACACATAAGAAGGGGGGGGGGGTATGAAAAATTCTTCATAGGGTCGATAGGAGGGAAATTGCAGGCCTGGCTGTGTTGCTTATTGATGCTGTAATGAGCAACAAATCAATTTGAATTGGCTTGGATTTAGCCACAGTATTTCTACTTTTAGGAGGGAAATAACTAAACTTAATTTACACTACCCTACTATTAAGTCTAGTCGAGTCTGACTCTGAGAGGTGGTGCTCATCTCCATTTCTAAGCTGACGAGCCAGCGTTGTCCGTAGACACCTCCTTAGTCATGTGGCCAGCATGACTGCATGGAGTGTCGTAGCCTTCCCGCTGAAGCAGTACCTATTGATCTTCTCACATTTGCATGTTTTCAAACAGCTAGATTGGCAGAAGTTGGGGCTGACAAAAGGAGCTCACCCCATCCCCTGGTCAGCAAGTTCTGCAGCTTAGCAGTTTAACCTGCTGCACCACTGCGGTCTGAATGCTCACTAGGAACAGTTAAATTGGATTTACCATATGAAAATGTCACTGAGGCAAACAAAGCTAATTGTGAATGAGCCTGAAAGGAGAAGGGTGGAACCCAAATAGTATAAGGCTAAAGCTTTGAAGATACTTTGAATTAGTGCAGAAACTTTTTAGACAAAATAAAATACCTGACTTTGGAAACTACTTCAATTATTTATCTTACCATGTAAATAACACTGAGAACCAGTGGTTTAAGGGGATGTCTTGGGTGGTGTCCTTAGCACTTGGTAACACTTTCCCTCAATATTTCTGTACCAGATAGTTGTAGTAGCCTTTAAAGAAGGAAGTCTAATTCAGGACTCAGGTGAACATCTCCCACGGAGAGTCTAATTATGCCACCAGTCATATAATCATATAATATAATAAAAAGATACGGTCTGGTAGCAAAATCAGGATTCTGGATGTGGTCAGATAAAATGGTGGAAAGAAATGGATGCAGAATGAGAAAGGAAGGAAAGAAAGGTGAGCATAAGAAATGGAAACACTACAAGACAGAAAATAAAAGCAGATAAAGAGAGCCAGTATGGTACAATTGTGAGCGCATGAGACTATTGTGATGATAAATTTGGAGAGGAAAAAAGAGCCAGCTGCAATGTCTTTAAATCTTTAGAAGAAGGAGCACCTACACATGTGAATAACCAATTTAGCATGTATATGAGAGAACTGAGAATAAGGCTGCATCTGCACTGAAATATTAATGCAGTTTGACATCATTTAAATTCCCAATGCAAGAAAATCCTGGGATCTGTAGTTCTGTGAGACACCAACACTCTTTGGCAGAGAAGGGTAAAGACATTATAAAACTATAACTCTTATGATTCCATGGCATTCAGTAATAGCAGCTAAAGTGGTTTCAAATTGCATTAATTTAATAGTGTAGATGCAACCTAAGTAGGCATCAGTAGAATTTGGATGGTAGTGATGCCTTCTCCATGGCTGCTCATAGACTCTGGAACTTCATGTCTGGTTAGACTAGACTCTTCTCTTCTTTGTGATCATTTCACTGGCTGGTGAAGAAGATACTTTGGAAACTGACTCTTTGACAAAAGACATTTTACAAAAAGCCAAGTTAGGACCTTTTATTTACTGTTCCTTATGTTTTAAAATTATTATCGTAAATGGTTCTATAGGCAGATTAATCCAATTTTAATCTTATTTCATTGTATGTTTTAGTTAAATATGATTTTTGCAATTGTTATGTGTAAAATTTCCAATTTATGGTGATGGTATAGTACAATTTTCTTGGCAAGATTTAGTCTAAAGAACCTTGCTTCCCTTTGAATTATTATTATTACTATTATTATTATTATTATTATTATTATTATTATTATTATTTACTTTTATCCTGCTTTTCTCCCATGAATGGGACTCAAAGTGGTGAACAAAATAGAAAAATAAAACTGCATAATACATACTACAGATAACCACCATCCCCGCAACCCGACATATAAAATAATAAATCAACCCATTGCATAAAACACAAATTACGTAAATATAAACAAGCATAAAATAACCACATATATCATTATTATTAACCTGAGATTGTCCTAAAACATTAAAACATTAAATTAAACATCTCGGAGCTCCAAGTCTTTGGCCATGTGAGCCTTGTCTGACCGAGATAAGCTGCCATTGTGTATTGTCAGGGAAGTCCTGCTTCCATAAAAATGTTTTCACCCGGGAGTGAAAGGCCAATAATGAGGGGGCCAAATGCATCTCTGTGGGGAATGAGCTCCAGAGCCATGGGGCCACGCCGAAAAGGCCCCTTCTCTCTCATTCCCATCAACCATACTTGTAACGGTGGTGGGACCAAGACAAGGGCCTCTCCCGATGATCTCAGGACTCGTGTGGGCTGATAAGAGGAGATGCAGTCCCTCAAGTAAGCTGGGCCCAAACCGTTTTGGACTTTATAGGCTAAAGCCAGCACCTTGAAAAGCTAGCACCTTGAATTTAATTGGAGAGTGTGTGATTTGCCTGATGTCAGACAGTGGATTTCCATGGCTGAGGTGGGGATTTGAAACCCAGTGTACCAGAATTCTAACCCAACACTCAAACCATTGGGTACCATGATATCTCTCATCTGTGATTTTACTTCTTTTTTAAATCACATGTGGTTTTAGTTGTTTTTAAATCTTGTTAGCTAATGGCTAAATAGAGTCCCAGTCTTGAGGAAACTTGAGAGATGAACAAAGTGATGGATTAATTCCTTGAACATGGTATAACTACCATTTGAGCAGTATGACTCAGAATTAAAGAAATAAAGGAGTTAAAACTAAAATTATAAATCTATCTGTGGCTGAATCTACATTGCCATATAATGCAGCTCAAACTGCATTATATGGCACCTTAAATCTAGCCTGAGTTTCTAGATTACACCTTTAATGTAAAATCTTAATGGTGTATTGTGCACATGTTTCTCTAATACAAAGAGGCATTCTATTACTTTAACTGGCATTCTTCCATCAGGACTGAAATTATTGCTATACTGAGCTGATATTTTTCACTACAGCAATAGATTGCATTTTCTGAGGTATGTGTACTTCTGGCCAATTTTTAGAAACTGAATTTCTAAAGGAGATGCACTAGCACCAGTAAGCCTCAAGGGGGTGCCAGATCACCATGTCTGGGGACACTAAAAATACTGCAGCAGAGCAGATGGAAAACAGAAGAACCAAAGCAAACTACCAACTTTTCAAGAGACAAACCTGAGCATTGGATTTGAACCAGTGACATTTCCTTTTCTCCCTTGTAAATTCTGTAAGCTTAAAAAAAAACCCATAGAAGTTGGAACCTGTATGAAATGCAGTTGTGGATAAGTCCTACAGTTTTCGCAAATGATTGACAATAAAATTGCACCATTTATGAGCACTATATTGTGGCAGAATATCTCCTACAACATAAAGAATTCAAGCTATGTTTTTCATGTATAAGCAAAACAAATTCTTCAGATTCCTACCATGCTACCTATAGTGTATGGTATTTGAGGGTAGTGAAAGAAAGGGAGGATCACAGTTTCACACCTAGACCAGCTGAAGCATGAAGGGATCCAAGGATGGGCAATTGTTATAGGTCTGAAGGTCAATCTTCCACCATGTAGTCTTTGGGGCTACATGGATTCTTTAAAAATTCAAAACAAACAGAAGTCTACTTAAAGTTTTGAAAAACTGATTTTAAAAATATGTTAAATAGTTGCTTTGAATTCCATTCAAGAAAGAAAGGAAGAAAGACAGGGAGGGCAGATCCCTAACCCAATGTTTCTCAAGCTGTGCTCCTCCAGGTATTTTGGACTTCAGTTCCCAGAAATCCCAGCCAGTTTACCAGCTGTTCAGAATTGTGGGAGCAGAAATCCAAAACATCAGGAGAAGCAGAGTTTGAGAAACTCTGCTCTAACCTATGTAAAATGTTAAGTGATATTCCAGGAATGATACACACGCACACTATTTTTTGGCCAAGGAAAGGACAATCAAGGGAGTCAAAAGGCATTAAGGGACATGAAATCATGTTTTCCTGCTCAAAACAGCATTTTGACCACTCTCCTTTAATTAATATGCCACTGCTTGGTATATGAATGGGAAAGGGTGGAGAACTTTATAATTTCTACTCTTGACACATAACCATAGGCATGTGCGATCCATGGTTCTAAATGGTTCTAAAGTACTTACAAAATTAGGGGGCATTGGTGCTTTTTTCTAAAGTGTTTCTAAAGTTTTGGTGGTGAAAATTTCAAAACTCTAACAAAACTTTCAAAATTTCATTATAATTGGCAGTTCCTAAAAACATGGCAAAAGTTTATTACACTGCCAAAACTTTGTGCAAGGGGCATCACCCTATAGCACATTTTGGTTTGTTGAGTCTCCACCAATTTAACAAAGTTTCTGCCTCAAAAATAAAGTTTCTGGAGTAAAAACCACACAATGAAACAAGAAATAACACTTTCAAACCAGGAACAGCTTTTCTTTATTATTAAAAAAAATCTTTTATAAAAACTTTGAAAATTCACCAAAAATCAGTGGATAAGTCAAATGTTCTGAAATTTGGTGAGCTAACAGTGGTGAAATTTTGAAAGTTTTGTTAGAATTCTGGAATTTTCACCACCAAAACTTTAGAAACAAAGAACCAGCACCCCCTAGTTTTGTAAGTATTTTAGAACCATTTAGAACCATGGATCACACATGCCTAATAGCCACGGGCCAAATTAGGGCAAGCACACATCTTGCCATCTCCCTTCTTCCCTCCCACCAGCCAATGTTGTGTATTTTGGGCATGAACATTCATTTGCTATATATTTGTTGTCAGCTGGGTGGGGGTGAAATTTTGAATGGCTGTCTGCCTGTTGTGGCACCAGCTATGTGGTAGGCTTATGTTAAATTTAATGTTTTCCCCACAACGAGTGACTCACCTTTAGGCTACAGTGCCTCTGCTCCTGGGAATCCCCTTCAGTGAGCCAGGAGTGAATTTATCACTTCACTTTTGCCTGGTAGAATAGCAGCATTTCTACACTGTTAGTCAAGGAGAGCCTAAGTACCCAAAGACAAGCTATAACTCAGTGTCAGAGCACATGATTTAAAAGTAGAAAATCCCAGATCCTATCCATGGAATCTGCAGAGCAGGGGGACTAGAAAAACCTCTGCTTAGAACTTCAGAGAGCACTAACTGATCAGTCTTGACAACTGGGATAGACTAACCAATCGCCTGACATGGATTAAGACAGCTTCCTGTGTATAGCATCCTTTCACATTGAAATGATTCTGTGTTTACAAAATGCCCTGGGATAGATAGATAGATAGATAGATAGATAGATAGATAGATAGATAGATAGATAGATAGATGCATATCCCATCAAAAAGGTACATAAAAGCACACATTTCATAAAATATATATGTAATGTCATGCTAATTTTGCCACGTACCCCATGCATTAATGCAGAAATGTGACTGAACAGCCACAGACAGAAAACATCCCTACCTGCCACCAGATTTGATCTCCTGCTGAAAACACAATAGAAATACATTGACAGAGATGCACATATATTATCAGGTTTTTTGTCCTTACCTCCATTTTCCCCCATATAACTTCATAATTATCCTGGTGCTGTATATCTTGAAGCAGCTGCTGAATTAAAGCTGATTTATTTGGAGGACATATTTCATTTTTATCAGTGGAGTGAGTTACTGGTCGTTTTCCTGGCCTGTCTTCTAAGTATTTTTTAATGCTAGATGAGGATGTGCAAAGCTCTTCATCTGAAAGAATGTCACTAAGAGGTCCAGATTCAATGCTGTCTCCAACTGAGGATATTATGTCACTCGAAGAGCTTGGTGAAACTCTACCTAATCGCTTGTGCTTCTTTTTTATCTGATACGTTGGGTAAAGTTCAGAATCTGAATTCATTTCTGAAAGTTCCCAGTCATCAATGTTTTGAATGGTTTCTCCTTGAGGCTTCTGAGGAAGCAATTTTGTCAGATTTTCTAATTTTAAAGCTAATACTTCAGTCTGTTTGAGGTGTGTCGGAAGTGCTAAATATTCATCGGAACCATACCATATCTCAGCAGCTTTCCCATCTGTATTGCCAGAATCTGGTGAAGATGAATGGGTCTTTTCACTCTCATTTCTTGGGAGAACCGGGGATGAAGACACTGCAGACTCTGAGACAGCTGAAGAACCACTTACTTGGCTATGAGCGGGTGAAGCAGAATCTCTCTCAATGTAACTTTGGCCATTCAGTCCCTGCTGTTTGCAAAGATCGGAAGATGTGGAGGTGGAGTCACTTTCCGTTCCTTCTATGGATTGCAAGCTACCAAAAGGAATTCCTTTCCTCAAAGCAGCAAGTCCTCTTTTATTCACCTGCTTTGCTGAAGTAGTATCTGACACAATTCCAGATATCCTACATGATGCCACTTCCTCAGGAATGTCGTGTGACTTCTTGCTCCTCAGTTTTTTCCTCCTCAAGCTGTCGCTAGACTTAGCTAGGCCCATGGAATTTTCCTTCAAGTGATTCTGAATTGTGTACTTGAGATTCTGGTCACTTATGTTGTGTAAACAATCACACGACTGACTAATGGCAGAGGGACAGTTGTTGTAGGCTGTTTGTAAAGCCAGGCAAAGCTTTGATCTGTCTGGAGGATCTAACAGTGAGGGTGTGCTCCTACTTAGATCTGTCTTAAACATCAGTGCAATCTGATTTTTTATATCATTGACCATCATATCTGTTTTAAATATATCGTCTTTGAGAAAGAAACCTCGCTTGGGCAGGGTTGGTTGTGTAGGAGAATCTTCATTGTAATCAAAGCAGTCTCTTATAGATCTCTTGGGAGTTGGGTTTTCACTGTGAAAATGCTGTTTGTCCCTTCCTCCATTGGAGGCTAACGGACTGAGCTCCTCTTTCACTAATTCAAAGATAGCATTGCCATCAGTTGATCCAACACATCCTTCCCCACAAGAGGTTTTACAAAGAGGCAAGTTCCCAGAAATAAGAGAGACTGAAAGTTCAGTGGATGCTATATCTGACGATGCTCTGCAACACTGTTCTTCCTGATGGTCTGTTGCCAGGGGCAAATGGATTTCTTTCCCATTAATGCTTTCATTACATGTGGAAGCAATTGAATCTGTTGCTACTGCCAATAACCCCACACTTCTGATAAGCTCTGGAAGGTCTTTTTCCATTTCACTGCAACTCCAAGACTCAAATGGTTTCACTTTTGCCTGACTGGAGGTCATGTCACCAAGAGCACCCAGCAAGTCTTCACTAGGGCTGTAGTCTGATAGTTCAAATGCAGTAATTCCACAATCCAGGGACAAGTAATTTTGAGAGCATTTGATGGTTAGCTGTCCTGAATCATCCACTTCTGTTAAAGAGTCAAGACGATCCTGGAACAAAGAAATAAAAAAGAAATGATTATCAGTTCAAGGAAATGTACAATGTCTAGGAGATTAAAATTAATTTTGCACTCATCATATTAAATGTGATGAATGCACAACCAAGGAGAGCTTTTCTTTGTGATTTTTTAAATTTAGAGAATAAGACTTCCATATTATTTTACACATTCCGCTGAAAACTGATGCATTGTAATTAAATACTCTAGAATCAAATCCCAGAATCAGTCTCTGAAACTTGGCAAACAGGAGCTTGACTGAGAAGGCCACGTGGATTGCTTTGCATGAGCGTGACAGAAGACTCGTCATAAGATGAGCTTGTATCCATTAGGTTAAACATCCCTAGACTCTGAAAGTCATTTGGGACAGTTTGTTGGGTGGTTGTGAGTTGGGAGGAGGCTTGTTGGTGTTCCATTGTTCCGTTGTGTGTAGCCCCAGGTCCTTTGTATGAACACGTGGTCATGGGGGGGGGGTGAATCATCTGCTGAAAGGAAGCGAGTCATGGTTGGGGGAAATGCTAACAGCCACTAGCTCTCTATATTGTCACAGTCTTAGTCCATGGACCTTGACATACAGACTGGCTAAAAATGAAGCCAACAGGGAAGTTTAGCAGGGGAGTTTGGGGTGAGGAGATGCAGAGTTTTGTTTCGCTGTGTAGTTGAGACTTTTGAACATGAATCATGACAGAACTACTGCAGTCATGTGCTTGTGATCTTGTCAGAAGATGTGAGTAGTTATACCTGCAATAAGTACAACTGGGTGGTCCTGTTGGAAGAAAAGGTTCAGAAACCTGAGGCCTATGCATGTACCTGAGGCCTATGCATAGCAGGGAACATGATGTTTTCTTGGACAGAATGGAGCAGACTATCCCAGATGACTTTGCACATATGTCCAGAGCTTTTTGGTTGTGATCATAGGCTCACAATCTTTACAAAAGACTAACAATGAATACAATGAATATTTATGACTGACAAACTTGGTTTACATCTGACAAACTTTGTTGGCAGGGAAGGCCAACTTTTATTCATGTATGACCACACGGGTCTAGAGTTACTGCCCAGAAAAGTATTTCTTAATTACCTGGGTATTTATATAATGAAAGTGGCATACCATCCAAAACTAGATCTGTAGCAATAGCAGGTGAAAGGTGGGTGTTGAAAGGAAATGGAGGAGGGAAAGGCAATGAATGAGTACATGGTTTCTTGATCTCAGTTTTAAAGCCTCCTACACTTTAAGTATATTATGAGCAATTTTGCTTGAGCTATAGATATGCCCTTTGGATTGCTGAACTTTAAATTGGTACAGATATTCTTTGTCCAACTTTGTAGCACTGGACTCCTGATTGCTGTGAGTTTAAAGTAAAAGATCTAAAGATGAGTCAGCCTGCTCAGTTTTGCCTGGAGACTGGATTTTAAAATTCAAATTAAGAATTCCGAACAAGGTATATCTTTGATCTTGTCCAAGGACTTGATCCTGTCAAACCACAACATTCTTCTGGTTTTTCTGCATGCTAGATAAAATGCAAAATTGGGTAGTATCAGTTAACCCCTACCCGCATGCAACTGAATTGGGATCAGGCGGAGGAGGTATATCTCTCAGAAGCAGAAATTTTAATTCCATGATTAAGACTTCAAAAAGCATTACAATGATACACAGTGAATTCTTAATTTAAAAGCTGTTATGGTACTTTTGGAATAGCCCTTTCCGCTTTCAGTACAAGACGAGCTAACCTTTGAAAGAGCAAATATAAACAGGAGCGAAGAGATCTTGCCATAAATTCTCTTAGCATTCAGAAACTTGTATACAAGTCTTGATGTTAGAATCAGAATAGAAGTAGCTGGCTAGCACCATGTTTATCTTTTTCAGTGACCGTTATCTGTACTGCAAAAAAAAATATCACATTGGCTGGAGGTACTTAAGGTTCATGGGCTGCTTGATGAGGCAACAGTCTTTTAAATATAGGGCCACGTGTGCAGAGTCCTTGTGCAGCTGTGAGCTTTATATTGATCATCACAAAACAATCATCATGTTTTAACAGGTCATGTAATTACAAATTCTATAGGATATTTCCAAATTGCTTTTGATTTCGGGTTTCTACGGCAATGAGTCGTAAGCTTTTTGTACTGATTGTTGGAATATTTTATTTTGAAGTATTTTAAATCACAATATATTGTTTTTAGATTGTATTATGCATGCATTTTAAGATTTTGTTTATTTTAATCACTTAAAATATTGCAATTTGGGATTAGGTTTTGGGGTGTGGCTTGAAACCTCTGGTGCTTAGGGTAAGGAGGATTCACAAATACAGGGTGGGACTTGATTGCTCCAGTTCCTTTGACAAATTCTGTTCAAAGCATTGCTCAGAAAATTTTCTTTGGTTAGAATGCCACTATGAAATTACAGGGGGCAACTCTCAAAATTTGGTCATGATATATCAGGGCCTATTTTGGGCAGCCCATGATCCTGAGTACGTTTCTTAGGGAATACTTCAGGGTGAGGTTTCATTTCAGCACTCACAATATAGTCTGTGAGTGCTGAAAAATTCATACATGTAGTCCATCTGTACGATTTAAATTCAAAACCCTGGTGTAAAGCATATTTGATGCAGAGTAGAATGTCGTTCTTGAAGTGACATTTAAGATGCATTCAAGAGAGCCTATTTGATAAAGATTTGCACACATTTGTGCAATTGTGTTGAAAAGAGTAACTGATTTATTTTAGCATTGCTAACGTGAACCTGTAATTTTCCGTTGATGAAAATGTTATGATTGATGCATTCAGCTCTCTATTTTAATCACAGATTGTTTATTCCTTCAACATATATTGCTATGGTCAATGTGTCCCACCAATGTCTTTCCCTGTTGCTGTAAAGTCAGTTAACTTTATCTCTGGTACGGAAGTTTTGAAGCAAACATGACAAACTCATGCTTTATTTAAGCTAGTTCAGTCATTCTGAGTTGGACGACTGTAATACCAATTTAAGATTAACTTCTTTGCCCTAAAAATGACCAAAAAGATTAGGCAAGAGGCCACCTCAAATGCCTAGTCTTACCAAAAATTCCTTCAAAAAGGAGCTTGAATGTACAAACGTAATATGAATTAGAGTCCAGAAAGTACATTTACATTTATTTCCCATACCTCCTTTGTTTCCTCTGAAAAGGCTTGTAGAATATCAGTCTGCCTGGTGTAATTCCCATTGGCATCCTGCAGTCCCTGTAGAATTCTCTCTCTCAGAACTAAGACAGAAACTCGAAGTTGATGCCAAAGAAGCTGTACTGTATGGATGTCAACAATCACATTGACAGAGTAAGATAGGAGCTTCAAGGAAAATTCAGTCTCCAGGAGAGCATGGATTTGTTCAACGTGATCAGAGATATCTTCACATATATCCTTTGAACAAGAGAGGAAAGAGAATATTATCCACACAGTTGTACAATTATATTGATCCAACACTATTAATTTTGTGATTCAATTTCTCTATAAAGAGGTGGCAACTAAGTACTGTTTTTTGTGAAGAAGGGCATCCCTTCCCTTTGCATACAATCTAATTCACTCACTTGAGTAATCTACAGATATTTGCCCTCCAGATAACCTCTGATTATTACTTGAACTATCTAGCATACTATGATTTGAATTGTGTCGTTTGATTTCTAGCAGTCTTTCCCATTCTTATACATTCCAGATGTGATGAATTACGATTCTCAGCAGCAGCATATCAGCTATAACAAGCTAGTGAATGCTGGCAGGCATCGACTAGCATTTGTTGCAGGACATCCTATGGATACCAAAATCCATGGAAGCTCAGGTCCCATTATATACAATGGTGTACTAGAATTATGCTCTTTATATAAAATAGCAAAATCAAGGTTGGGTTTGTGGCTTTTAAAAAATATCATCAAGCTGTGGATTGTTGAATCTGCGGATGCAAAATCCATGGATATGGAGGGTCAACTTTATTCTGCTCTCTTTACACTCACTAACACTGGTCTCTTCACACTCATCCTGTGCTTAATGGTGACTATGATGGATTAAACCAACTGTCATCAGTTTCTTTCTCTGCTCCTTCTTCCAAGTAAACCATGCCCCAAGCAGCTCATAGTAAATCTGAATAAAATAACTACAAGCAAGATGATAACACAGCCTGTAATATATCAGTGAGATTTCTAAAGAATTCATTGTAATGTATCAATTACAATGATATATTAGGGGCCGAAGAGGGGCTGACCAAGGGCAAGATGGATGGGTGGCATCCTTGAAGTGACTGGAATGACCTTGAAGGAGCTGGGGGTGATTACGGCCGACAGGGAACTCTGGTGTGGACTGGTCCATGAAGTCACGAAGAGTTGGAAACGACTGAATGAATGAACAACAACAACAAATATCAATGTATATTAATCTCAACATTTTTGACGATAAATTAAACAATTTATACCAAGAAACTCAGTATTATACCAAATTAATCAATCCATTACCAATTCATATTAGTAGATTATTCTTATTTCTTTCAAATTGACTTCAACATTTGACAACCCCTATGAATGAGAGATCTCCATGAGCCCCAGAATTCATCAACCATCCTACTCATATCTTGCAAACTCAAAGTTATGGCTTCAATTATTGATTCAAATCACATGTAATGTGATTTTATTGTCATACTGCCAATTTTAATAGAGCCTTGCAATATAATACTAATCAGCAATGTGTGCACACTTATGAATATGCACACTTATTCATAAGTGTGTGTGTGTGTGTGTACACTTATGAATAAGTGTGCACATACACACAAATGTGCCACAGCAGAAGCTCTTAAGCATATCAGCTTAGACCACATTGCCTCCACAAGAGATTAAAGACTGAATTTCAGCAAAGTCTTTATATGGAAAAAAAAAAGATAAATTATCTACATTTATTTATATGTACCCCTCTTAATGTTCCCCCAGCAACAGCAAGAGCATCCCTCTGGGCAACTAAACCAGGAAATCCCAATTGGCTGGTCCCCCACAAGGGTCTGCCTCCAGGGACAAAGCAAGAATGGGCAACTTGGAAGTCCCTGAACAGACTCAGAAATGGAGTGGGCAGATCAAAAGTCGAATGGAACTACGTAAAAGAATCATCCAGCTTGTGTGACTATGGAGCAGAACAAACACCTCTGCACCTGTATGCTTGTGCACAATGCCCTACCTCATGTACAGAGAAAGAATTGTTTAAAGCTACAGACAATGCAGTCGCTGTTGCCTGGTTTTGGTCAAAATTATTTAGCCGTTTATGCTTCTTCTATTTTTATCAGTTTTATGCTTATATATGCAATGGTTTTGACACAAATATATAAATAAATAAATAAATTTATATAAATATATCCCCCATTTTAAAAAGTTGACTTTGCATTTGTCAAGAAAACAGTATATCTGTTTACCTTTAATTATTCTGTTTCCATATTAGATTCCTAAACCATCTCTTTCTTAATCCAAATAAAAAAAATTAATCTTCAATTAGTAATTTCAGCAATTTTCTTCAAACTCCGAAAAAGTTTTAGAAAATCAGACATTTTTTCAGACTCTTTACAATTTGGGGGCTTATTCTACACAAATATTGCACATTGTGTTTTTCACAGAAAACACCATTTCCTGTGGCACCAAAAGCATTTTCTGTGGAAAACAGTATTTTAAAACAGAAAAAAAATAATTCATGTGCAGAAAATACTGCTTTTAATGGAAATTGCTATCATCATCGTCATCATTATCTTTATTTATATCCCACCTTTATCCTCTTGGGTCAATTACAGTCTTTTCTGCACAGGAATGCATATTTCTGCACTGAAATTTTATTTTCTGTGCAAAACAGCCACATGAGAAATTTCTGCAAAATAAGTTGTAGTTCACCTCCATCCAGAGAGTACTGTGGACTCAAACAATGATGGATCTGGACCAAACTTGGCAGGAATATTCCATATGCCCAAATATGAACACAGGTGGAGTTTGGGGGAAATAGACCTTGACATTTGGGAGTTGTAGTTACTGGGATTTATAGTTCACCTACAATCAAAGAGCATTCTGAACCCCACCAACGACAGAATTGGGGCAAACTTCCCACACAGAACCCCCATGACCATCAGAAAATACTTAAGGCCATCCATTCCAACTCTCTTCACCAGGGCAAGAAAACATAATCAAAGCCCTCTTGACAAAGAGCCATCCAGCCATAGATATAGATATATATGATACACACACAGAGAAATATATAGCATCATAGATTTGAAAGGGACCCATAAAGGACAATTTTATGTTGCATGTTCCAGAGTAGGCAAAGCCGACAATCTTCACATAAACACAAAGAAACAAAAAGAAATACTGTTTACCCACAAGCAGAAAGAAATTACTTTATTTTCCAGATCACGAGACTGGGCCACAGCAACGTGTGGCAGGGGACAGCTAGTTAAGAATAAATGACCAAAGCCTCCATAGACAACAAAACAATATTCTCATATAGTGAGCGGTTGTTTGATTGCTATCTGGATTTCTTTTTGGCATGCTATACACATCTGTAGGTGACAATAGTGTTAAAAAAACATTTTAAGTGTCATATTAACAAAACAATTGTTGGCCTGCCTCCTCTCGGTATCTCATTCAGTGCCTGATTTGAAGGTATGCCAAATATCTAAAGTATGACGTGCAACCAAGTGTGCATATTCAAGAATGAAAAGATGGAAGAGGGAGTTGAAACTTGTGTGATGTTTTCTGTGGCAGAGCATTTAGGTTCAAAAGGGCAGACTATTTGATTGCAAAGGAAACAAAAGGGTTTCCTAAACTGTTGAGGCAACACTGCTATTGATTCCTACTTTCTGTTGGAATATTGATACAAGGATCTTGTATTATAATAACTTTATTTTTGTACCCTGGCACCATCTCCCCAAAGGGACTCAGGGCGGCTTACATGGGGATTAGTTGGGGATATATTTACATGGGGATATATTTCAACATAGTTAAAATATAACACATTAAAATACATAAACAACAGCATAAAACAGAATAAAACCAACATTATAACAAAATATAAAACAAGCATCAATCAATAACCAATGAACCTGCAATAATAATCAGTTTCTGGAAATGGGTGGGCGAACTGGTGCAAATCAATTGTAAGGACGGGCTGATGGATAAAGTGAGTAAGTCAATTGGCAACCGCAAGGATAGAGGGCAATGTGAGATACAGCACTATAACTTTGAGTACAGAACAATAGTAAAGCGGTTCAGTAAAGTTCTTTGTATGTTCTACTCTTTTAGAACATACAAAGAACTTGGTCATAGTTTGGGCCAAGTTATCAGAGGAATGTCTAGTCAATTATGAATTCTAGACATTTAGCATATGATATAATGAATCCCAGACTCTCCAAATTAAAGAATTAACTAACATTTGCAATTGTTGCAATAATTATATATTTACTGAAGTGAGCATGAGTGGGCCTCCCGCATCCCAAGAACAATTGAGACTAATTTTATTAAAAGATTAGAACATACAAAGAACTTTACTGAATCATCCTAAAGCCCTATTTGGTTCAAGATTTTGTTTATCCAATGAGCACGAAGCTGAAAAGAGTACATGGTCATCTTCACTAGCACTTTAATCTGAAGCGGGGGTCAAATCATCTCTATAGTGGCTGTATGAGACACCAAACTGATGCAACTTAATGCAGCTTTGAACTGCATAAACATTAGATATTTTAGAGCTTTTACAAAATAACCAGCAACTTTGGGTATGTTCAATTAACTATACCGCATCCTATTTGGGAAGCAGTCATAGTTACATGCCAACCTGATTCCCCTGGGCTCAGGCAAGTCAAGAACAGGAGATGGCATCTTCCTTGCCTGCCTCAATCTCACATTTGTGCCATCTGGCACAAAAATGATGTTGGACCCCACTCAATGCTTGAAATTAAGATATTCAGAGCACAGAATCCACTGGAGGGAAGTGAGGAGGTGATTATTCACTCTAATTTCTGAGCATTGTCCAGTGCCATTATCATGCCTGGTGGGCTCAGCAAACCACACATCAAAGGGCCACAGTTGGACAGTGCTGAACCAGTTCCGGCACCTCTCAACTGTTCAGTCACTATCCAGCCACTGGAATAGTTCAGGGTGCAAAGTGTAGCTTCCAGAAATGCTGATCTGGAATACCCCACTCTAGATCAGCATCACTGTTTCTGCTCAGTGAAGATGCATTCCGCAACTGAAAAACAAACAAACAACTGATCAAGGCCTGAAAGCCAACTAATTCTAGTAAACTGAGGCCCTAGTTAAAGGATGCTAAGGAGACAATAGGGTCACACTTCAATTTTTGCAAGTTAAATATTCATGGATTTCTTTTAAAAAAAAGGATTACTATGTTCTCTCAAG